ATACTTTTAGATTTGTTTTGTTAATAGTAGTACAAAAATAAAGCTTTGGAGAACATAAAGTTTGTTTCAAAACCTTTACAGTTAGAATATCTTTACCTACATACTGTGTATGACCTTGCTGAGACTAGTAGGCTTTTGATCTTTTAGTTAAAGACTAAAATATGGAGAATACTACTTCAATTCACTCAAAAGAATAATTCTAATCAATGACAGATGTAATTTATTCCCAACTTGAAAGTCGTTTTAAGAGGATGAAATCAATAGGGGACCAGTAAAGTGATACAGTACAGAACCCATTATCCGGAAATCAGAAAACCGTAACAAAATTCAATAAATTTTCTCGCCATTTTTTAAAAAAAAAATTTTTTTCCTCGTAAGATTTTACGATTTTTCTTTCTTTTTTTAAAGATGTTTACCTTACCATCATTTTGGAAATAATCATTAGTGTATTACTTCATCGTTTTTTCTTATTTTTAAGATTATTTCCAAATAAACTGGTTTAACAATAAAAAAACGGCTTTTTGTAGCGATTCAGAAAACCGGAAAAATCAGTTATCCGGAATAGCGATGGTCCCGACCGTTCTGGATAATCGGTCCCCCACTGTACAACTTTTCTTTTTAGCTTCCTCCGCTGATGAGCAACTACAAATAGAAGATGAAAAATTTTCTTAAGATGCTTCTCTTTCAATTAAATCTCAAATCAAGTAAGAATTTCATTTAGATGTAAGATTAAAAGTCTAGTAGATATCAAACAACTTGTTCATCTACTATTGATTGAGAACAGTTTTCTGACTTCTAGCAACAGTTCTCGTTGTATGTACTTAATTGTATTTGTTATTGTGGCCAAAGTTGAAAGATCATTCTCAAAATTAAAATTGATCAAGAGCTACCTTAGAAGTTCTACAACACAAGAACCTCAGTAATTTAGTTAGCTTGTCAATTAAAAAAGAGAAAGCACAATAAATAAATTTTGATAAAGTTGTTGATGTATTTTCTGACATCAGATGAAGAAGAAAACATATTCACCTTTCAAAAAACTTAATGCCCGTTTTCACTAGTCAGAAAATATTTTTTCCTAATATAAAAAATATTTGAAATAAAATTCTTGTGTGATATTCTTCAAATTGTCCTTATAAACACTTATTAGATTTATTATTTAATCGTCACTAGAAATAAAATTAAACACTATTTAGCTATTTTGATTTTATAAAAAGCTTTACAGTACCTATACAATGCCAAATAATTTCTATTTTAATTTAGAAATTTTGCTTTCACGGATCTTGCAGCGGGACGTTGAAACACCTAGCTAAACCACAGGGAGTCAAATAAGGCTACACAATTAAACAGATACAATAAAATTAAGATTGCACAATGAGCTCACAACGCTTTCTGTTGTAATATATATATATATCATCCAATAAACAGTTCTAATTTTACCTTAACGACTGCAGTTTTCTAATTCAAAATTATTTCAAATTTATTTTATTTATATTTAACATAAATTTGAATAAAATATTTTTCAAATTTAAAATATTAGAGCTGCCTTACATTATAGTTGTCACAATGAAACATTTACCAACAACCGAAAAAAATACAATTCAAACTTACTATTGTGATAAAAGAAATCAAGGTGACGTAAATCATATCTTTGTTTGAAACAAAAGTTAGAACAACAAAAAGTAGAGAATAGAAAACCAAAACTAACTGAAATATCTAATTTTGAATCTAAAGAATCTTCATCTTCACTTCCAGATTCAGAAATGCCTTTATTCTTCTCTTGTATTTCATCCTCTAATCCAGCATTCTTCCTTTTCTAAATATTGTATATAAAAAAAATGCAATTAAAGGTTATCTCTTTTTAGCGATTTAAAATACAAGTTTCTCCTACAATAACTGTTATAATAGAAAGCATAGTATTTAAATTTATTCTATTCTTAAAATTACTTTAAATTATAACAAAGAAAAATTTAAACTAATATAAAATATTATCCTAATTTAAAATTTTGTTATAAGCTTTATTTTATTAAGTTTTGGTGAATATACTATAATCATTGAACTGTCGTTAGGCTTGATTACATAGTTTATTTTTGATAGGCCAAGATGAAAGTATGAAGAAGCATTTATAAACTGAGATAAAAGAAAAACCTAAGAAGAAAGGTATTGACGCCTAATATTATAGATCAAAAGCACTGCTTCTTCGAGGCAAAATGTGATTAAGTTCATTAGTCAAAATTTTTTTTATTAGTGAGATATTTTAAAATTTTAACTAATATTGCTATTTGTAAAATATTTCAACAGTTAACTAATAAGTCTTGTGATACACTTGCAATAAATAGTAGCAAGTGCGAAAATAAAACTCATAAGGTTAACACACTCTGACTGCGAGAAGAATGAAAAGATTCATTCGCTGGGGACAGATGGTAACTTTATAAACTAGAAAGTGTACAGACATTCACAACGTCTTCAACATATTTTTAAAGATAAACATGATACAACGAAAAATACATGAATTAAATACATCAATTATGCAACAAATAAACTTAATATGATGATGGATGAAAGACAAATATGACAATCACTGTAATAATTACACACAGATATCAACATAGAAGAATAAATAATATGAACTCTGCTCCTTGGGTGACAAATCTGCAAACACCATAAAGGTCTAAACCAGGGGTGTCAAACTCAAAAGCTAACTTGGGCCAAATAAACAATGCTTAACTTTAGATGGGCCGCAAAAAAAAATCAATGTTCATAGGAAACAAATATTTTTATTTTGAATTGTAATAAACATATATAAAGTTAAATTATTGTTTACGTCCTGATACTTGACATCTCTTCTCTGCTACCATCTTTTCTATTTCGGGAGAAATTTTATAGGCCGAGACTACTTTCAAAATTGACCCAACGTGAGCGTTATTAATACGGTTTCGGACAGGAGATTTATTTCCATTCATAACAGAAAATAATTGTTCTCACTGACTTTCAAACATGGAAGTAATTTTATATGCGAATTTTCGAGTATTTTCAAACCTTTCCGGTAAATATTCGTAAAATTCAGGCACACCCACTTCAATGACTTTTGCCTTCAAATTTGAGTCGCACTGAATCTCAATCACTTCCATTTGCATGTAACTGGGTACTGAGTCTATATTTATATAGAAAATCGAAGAAAACAAACAAAATTTTTCTTCCAAAGAATTAAAATCTTTAAACCTTGTTTCAAATTCTGTTCTAAGATTTGAAATTTTTTTCTGCATATTTTTGATACGATGCAGCAACATCTAAACTAGATTTATCCTTGTTGCACGTTGGGAAGTGCGTTAAATCGTCATTTTTCAGTTGCCTTTCCCAAGGAAATAGTTTACATTTGAATGCTTTAATTATGTCAAACATGATCATAATGATCTGATCCTTGCCTTGTAACAATAAATTTAAATCGGATAAGTGTTTGGTTATATCAGCCATAAAAGATAAATCTTGCAACCATATTTGATCAGAGAACAAGCTTGTATCTTGATTTTTAGTTTGTAAAAACTTATATATTTCTTCCTTCAAATCCCAGAATTTTTTGAGAACCTTGGAGCAAGATAACCAACGTACCTCGCTATAGTAGGATAATTCTGAATATGTACTATCTAATTGATAGCCTACTGTGAAACAAACTCCATTTCAGCCAATTAGAATTTTACATTTTCGAGCGTACGATTTAAAATGATCAGTATAGTTTATAAATAAAGTATATTATAATTTTATATGCTGGTTTGTTTCTAATTCACATTTCTATTTTATTTTTTATTTGCTTCGGATATATTGACTGGGTCACAAAAATGCTCATCTTGGGCCGCGAGTTTGACACCCCTGGTCTAAACAAATAAACCCCAAAAATAAACAAACGTAAGAATTTTGTTAGTACTATAGCTAAGCTCATTTGATGTCCATAATCGAAAGAACAACACTCTTAAAGAGCTCCCCAAAAAGAAAGACAAGATAAGGTAACAAATCCTACATTGAACTAAGGAAATTAGAATCATTAAATAAAAAATTGCTATCTTTTGAATTTTATGTCACATTTTGGCTATTTATTAAGTTAAACAAAACCATTATTTTCCCCTTCACTTTATTGAGAATAATAAAAATTAATAAAATCCATAGTTTAACAAATAAAATTAAAACTTTCAATTGGTAAGATGGTTTCAACTAACACTTCCTATATCTAGTTTCGTTATCCATGCATTGAAGGCTCTTTAAAAGATAATTTTTAAGAATAAATTTTAATTATTAAAACATCATTAGAGAGAACTAATTTGCACACACATTTAAAAAAAAGTATGAAGAGTTTATTAATATTTAATGTACTCAACTAATTAATTTTCAGAAACAAGATTTAGGAGTTAAAAAATTAAAATTATAAAAATCCACAATGATAAAAAGAACACAATAAAGTTAAGTAATAATAGGTATCAATGCTTTTCAATAGATTTTTTTTTTTTAAAAAAGGGAGCGAAAGAATTATTTGATATAAGCATTAAAATATAACAATAATGTACCATATTAATTTTATAAATATACTATTAAAAATTTTCATCATCCATTTTATTTTTTATAGTGATATGATAACTAACATATTTTTTAATAAAAGAGTTAACATTAAGAATGAAACAAGAACTTATTTTTGATCAAACTGAACAAGATTTTTAATTAACTGGAACTTAGAGATTGGTTATGTTAAAAGTGTAGTATAGTATACACATATTATCAAAATACTTATCTAGATTAAAACATTGAATTCTAGGTAAAAATGCTTACTTATAAATTATAGCTCACACACCCTATAATTTAAATTCAATGCACATTTATAACAAATTTAACAGCTACTCAAAACAAAAATTAATAACAAAGTTGTGCTTAATGTTATAATATTAAATATTTCTTAAACAAAAAAATAATACTAAATTAATTTAATTAGAAATCAAATAAAACTATGCAATATTTACTTTTCTAGAATCACTATCACTTGAAAGAAATGTATCCTTTCCAATGAATAGAGGAAAACTTTTCTGGACTTTACTATTTACCTAAATAAGGAAATCAAAATATTAGAAATACATGTATCCAATATTAATTGAAGAGTTAAGTGGATGAAGGTTTTGACAAAAAGTTCAGTGTGTTTAAATAAATTACATAATGCTTACATACACACAGTGTCAATAGGAAAGAAATATTATACAATGCCTTAATTTCTTGTTCTTTAATTGGCTAAATCTATGGATGGTGATTTCAGTAGAAATGTAAACAATAACAATCTCGAGCTGTATTCCTGCTCTAGTTCCGGTTAGAAAGTTTGCATCTGCTTACTACATGTTATTCCGCGAGGCGACATTTTCAAACGGATAATTTTATTTTCAATAAAAAAAATTAATTAGATAATTTCTAAACTCAAATCTGCTGTATTTCATAAGATATTAATGTTATTATTTAATTCTTGTGAGTTGGAAGTGAAAATTTGTTTTAGTTATTTAAAGATATATTGTTAAAAAAGGTGAAATGGTTGCTAGATTTTGAATAACTCGCTTTTTTGGCAGTCTTGATTTGGCCTCTTTCCATTTGTTTATTACTGTTTGTTCGTGTTGCAAGCTGTGCACCATCTTACGTTAGTGTTAACACTTTTAGTATTGTAAACACAAGTATTGTTAGCATTGTAAACATAAGTAATAAGTAATCAAATACATTGTTTTCAAGAATCTCAAAACACAATAATGCCAAATGGCTTTAAAATACAACCTAAACAGTAGCCCGGAAAATTAGGCGGTAACGAGCTTGCAGCGTTTCCTAGTGAAGAAAACACCATCCATATAAATCCCTAACACTCATTTAAATTATTCATAATATAATGCTCACACTTTTTAGTAGCCAAATGATTTTAGAAACTTCTTTCGTCTTGAAAACATTTAAAGACTATCAGACAGTACTAAATTTAAAGTCTAAATAAGATAAATGAATATTTTGAAGTTTAATGAAACTGAAATAAAATCTTACACCAATGAATCTCTATGATTTTTACCAAATATATTACTTAGAATTTTCTTGCACTAAACTTTTCAATTCCCTTGTCATTTATTTTTACATCAAATATTAATGGAATAATTTCAGATTCCTTTTTTAAACAAAGAAAATTTGTTTTAACCAAATATATTTATTATGAAAGGCAGTCTTTATTATAAAATTACTAAAGAAAAAGTAACTATATAAAAATATAATATCTTTTTGCCTCAAAGTTAATATAACTAGAGAGGTATTGCAAAATAATAGAACAATAATGTTACAGGAAATAACCTGGGAAGCTGTGTGATTTCCTAAACATTCAGCAATTTTTTCCCAACGATCATTCTGATTTTTTTCAGGGGGATATTTTTTTAGTAATTCCTCCAAATGCTTCTCTTCCTCAAGAGTCCAACAATCTGTTTCAATTTCTTTCTCACTATTTTTATTTTTTCTTTTAAAATCTACATAGTGAAAAAATATATTCATCAATATGTTGTATATTCATCAATATGAAATACATAATATGAAATAATATTTTGATAGTTCATTTATATATTTTAAAATAAAAAAATATGACAATAAAGAATTAAATTACCTTTAGGATATTAATTTTTATGTCGAATTTAACTTTAGGTACAAGGCTTAATGAGTCTATACAGTACAATAATTATTTGCACAATCATTAAGAAAACTTTAAATGAAGCAATTTTTGAAGCATCCAAATTAAGCATTATTTCCAAAAAACAAAATAATCTTTAATCATCATAACATGAAATTTGTGCCTAGAAAAACTTATTGAATGGTGAATGCACAGTTAAAAAATTAAAAGAATAAGAACATACATATTATTTACTGGAATAATTTTACAGCATAACTGCAACATTTATCAATAGTTATAAAAACATATTTACAACATACAATAGTTTTCAACATCGAAAAAATTAAGTTTTTCATAAATAGGACCTTTTAATATGCTAATTTAAAGTAGAACACATCATTTAGAAGGAAATACACTGAGAAAGAAAATACTCTGATATGAGATTCCTAATTGAACCAAATTTTAAAATGTTTCTTATGGCTCAACTTTTCTTATGATTTAATTTTCGTTCGGTAATATAGAGAAAAAAAATGAATAAAGTCTCTTTGAAGTGCCTATGATGAAACTTTAAAGGGATTTTGAGAATTTTCTTTTGCAAATAAGAATTTTAATAAAATAAATGTTAAGGAAAATCAGAATTTTCTAAAGAAATTGGTTTGTAAATTCAACTCCTATGGAAGCTGCAAAGTAAACAACTGAAATTGAACTCCTCGAGAATAAGATAAAACATATTAAGATAAACTATACATACTAGTTATACTGTTTAAAAAATACAAAGGATGGCTCCTTAACATAGGCATAATTCGAGAATGGATGAGGAGTTACATGCAGGGCTTTGGAGTCATTAGGATAATAAACCGAAAATTTTACACTTACTCCCTCATATATATGTAAATATATACACACATGCTATAATTTACTTTTTTTTTAAATATAAAAAAATTAATAGATACTATCGGGAAAAAAATTTATGGCATAGCAGATTACTTATATTTATTATCATTTATTGTGAATTGGAAAAAATGCTATTAGTTATACTAGTTATAATAGTATATCTTCTTTGATAGAGGACCTTAAACCTGATTTGAAAAATTTCAAATCTAAGAATAGTCTCTCCATTCTAACTTAAGTAGGATGAAAAGCTGTTACTGTTAGGACTATTACATTTAACTTTTAAGGATAGACTTGTATAAGGTCTAAACCAGGTGTTTTGAAAGAGTAATAATATCTTTCTATTTCTTCAAGGTCTGTGCAGAAATTTTATTTGTATTTTTCCATTTTTATATCTATAGGCTCTTGGTTCCTTATTTTCATTCGCTTTGCCATAGTCTTTTCAATATTATACTAAAATTTTTCAAAATCAAATTCATCATTGAAGAGGATGATAGACTTCCTTGTAATGTCTGTAGTCTGACTTTCTTGATTTGAATACTCAGAAAACAATTCATTCGAAGTAAAAATTCATAGATGGCTTTATTTTGCCTTTTTAATTTATTTGTCATCGAACTAAAAAACCTAGCAAGATCTCACCGTCTAGCAAACTACGTAGTTTCTTCAGTCTACATTTATTTATTAATAAGTCAATAAAATAGCAAATAACTAAATACTTATTACTATAGAATTTGTAAATAAATATGATAACACAGTTTGTCATTAATTTTCTTTTTTAATTCACTTTAATTTCATTTCAAATTCAAACTGTCCAACTAAAACTGGAGTCTGAGTTAATGCGTTTTTACTGACTTCATGACTCAGACTTTTATTCAAAAATCTGCCAAAGAAAAATTCCAGCCAGTTTATTTGTTGCAACAAAAAATGAGTTTTCTTCCCATATTTTTGATGAGAATCTTCAATTTATGCACATTCAGACACAATGTTTAGAAAGTTAATAAGTAAGTACATGAATCAAATTGAGAGATCAAAATTATTAGTAATGTAATTAATTGAAATTCTTTAAAATAACAAATGATAAATAAACACTATTGTTGTTGATTTCAATAAAAAAAAGTTTACAAAAAACAAACACATATTACTTTTTCTAACATCAGCAGCTATTCTAGATATTTGTCTTCGTTTAAATGCAACAGGATCTCCACTTAGGGCATATTTCCCCCATTCAATGGTGGGCACTGGATGAATTAATTGAGCAGATGGCATATCCATATCTTCTTTCTGTTTTAACTTTTCAACAAATTCCAAGGGATCAGCCAAAGCTTTATCTTTCAAATTCTTAAGATCGCTTAAATCTTTCACAGCTTGTTCTCGTTGGGCTTCTAATATAACTATTGCCTAGAAAATACACAAGAAATCACACATAATCTTTCCCGTTTGTTTAACAATATTGTAACTAATCGATTTTAAAATAATTAACGCAGTGTTAAAATGTAATACATTCAGATTATACTAAACAGCACAATGGCTTACTCTGGTTCAGACATTAATAAATATTTATAATTTGAATAAATACTTACTTCTAAAACATTCTTGTAATCATTGTTTCCTTTCAATGCCAAGATATCCGACTCAAAACAAAATTCTCCGATGGAATCAAAATCCATTTTTGGTGGTCGTTGTAACAAAGGATCAAAATCAAATTCATTTAATTTATTGCTATCTGTATTAATTTCTCGAAGAAATTCTGAGGAATGTTCATTTTCGACACTTTCAATATCAATTGAATCTTCTAAACTTTGATTGGAACTCATATTAAAAGTTAGATATGAATGAAAAATTACTTATAATATAAATTTTTTATTACTTCGAGTTACCGAAAGTAAACAGTGCAGGAAAATAAAATTTTGTTTACAATCGGTTCACGCTACAGATAAAGCCGTCAGATACTTGAACATAGCATTTTGAAAAACTGAAAACAAACGAAGTTTACATTCTGCATTAATACTTTAAAAACAAAAAGCTAAAAAATCGTTTGATGCCGATTGTAATGTTGAACTTTTTACACCGGTTTCCGAAAAGATAATTATATTCAGAGACTGCATTTCTCACCTTAAGTTCCGCCCTCATCTCTTTGGCTCCTCCTTGAAAATACTCCTCCTTTGCTTACTCCACCTACAATTCTAAAGAAATAAATAGCTTTCACACGTCAAAGCAAGCCGTAAGCTAAAGTTAATTATTAAAAGCAATTTCCGCTGCGAATATCTCCCGCCTATTTTCTTGTGCATTGCATTTACTTAAAGTTCAATAAGTTTACGCTGTATTTGATCATTTTAATAATAATTGGGTGTAATAATACATAACCTTAACAAAATTAGCTTGTAAATCATGGAAAATACTGAGATTTATATACCCGATGAAATTATGGGCAAACTCCAAAATTTCCACATTGCCATGGAGAAGATGGAAGAAACTTTGCAACCTCTACTGAAAACAAACATTAATTCTTCTGACATAAAGGTAGTTTTTTATAAATAATTCTGCCTAATTTGATGCATTCTTAAAATTGATCTTATGTTATCAAATGCACCATTTAATATAATTTCGGCCCATTTAAAAATAAAAAAAATTATTAATTTTCGGTACCTCTTACTTCATAAATGCTCGTTGTTTTTATTTTTATTTTAGAGCAGCTATTGTATGGAGCATAGTTGCAAAGTGGCGTGAGTTGATTGTATGAAGACTTTTTATTAACATTTGTTGTACTGAACGTACTTAAGTGTGATTTTGTTTACATTTCACATGGCAACACATATTACTATTTTCTCATAATAAGTACCTTATAATCAGAAATAAATATTGATAGTAATCCTGTACATTGATTTTTTATGTGAACCTGTTAGGATAATGGTTCTTCATTCTTAAACTGCATGAAGTCATGTAAATAAATAAACCAAAGTAAACAGTGTTGTTGAATCTGATTGAAAACTTCATTCGCTTCAGAAATAAACGTCGATCTGTTCGAAGTGCTTCAAAAATAGGCAGTTATTTTCTGTACTTGCGAGACGTGAATGTTAAGAAACAAAAAAGATTTAAAATAAAAATATTTTTGTTTCTTTATGTTTACATCTGGCAATGTGTGCAAATGAGTGTCTATTTTTGAAGCATTTCAAGCATGTTAATCTTTATTTCTGTAGCCAATAAATAAAGTTTTCAATCATGTAATATTTTGCCACTTCAGTCTCTTGAGATTATTCATTTAAAACAGTGTTGTAATTGTGTTTTATTTTTTCATTGAAGGATTATTGTGATGTGGCATCTTTTAGATCCCATGTTAGAGGGAAATTTAAGATTATTCTTATCAAGATATCCATTTAGCGTGGAAATCCAAATTAACAGAAAAAAATTTTAAATAATAAAAGTTTTTATTGGAATAACTTAAAGAGTTTTTACGATTGCTTTTTTGTCGCATTCCTTACTATTAATGTATACTAAAAAAAACTATCAATATCAGTTGCTAAATAAGAAATGTAACACAGTTTAAGAATGAAATTCTAAAAACTTAAAATTTGAGATAAAATACTTTTTTTAATGCATATTTAAGGTCCATAAAATACACAAATTTGAGTTTCATCAAAATTGCAGATTATACGCATGAAATCACTTTTTTTCCTCTGGTTGATATGATTTAAATGCATTCAAAGCAATAATAATTAATGCTAATAATGCAGTTGAATTTGCCTACAATGAGCCCTGATTCAACAAGAATCCATATTTATAGAGAAAAAAGAACTGAAATAATAAGGGGGGGGTGTACAATGTTAAATCTAGTGGGGCATTGTTTACTTTTAACATCTAAACCCCAGTTTTAGCTAGCAATATTTTGTGATTTGTAGAATGTTTATAAGTTTGTACCGCTCCAGCTCAGGTAATCCCTTCATAAAAAAATTCATTCGACATTCCAAAGACAACTAAAAGTTGTGATGAGTCATAAATCTAGCAAGCACTTAAACTTTTTTTCAAAGTAGGGTTGCAAATGACAATGTTTTTCAATCAATGAGTCTTAACCAAAAAACAAAACTAAAAAAACACACACAATAAGCCAGTTTAAAGAAAATTTAATAACCTCTTTTGTACTGTACGGAAAGAATAAATAAATAATTACTATATTTATTGTTTTATAAATATGTGTTAACTTGTGGTTTTTTTACACACCTGTTTTTTACGAGCACTCGGCTATGGCGAACAAATAGTACGATTCCTTCACACTTGTAATGAGTGAGTTTAACTGTATTGTCTTAATATCCAATTGTACTTTGAATTTATATCAGGTTCAAATAATTTTATATTATTTCTTTTTCTTTTAGCTAAGTCCTTTGGATAGAGCTCGATTAAACTTGGCTAGCGGATATGCTTTGAATTCTTTATTTTGGAGTTAGTATTACATGTTTTTTCCTAATTCTGTTTTGTTATTTTTAGTACTACTACTTTGTATTATTATAAGCTGGGCTATCATTATAATACAGATTCAATGTGCATCTACAGCAATTTTTCTTGCATAGATATTTCCAAATCATAATATGCCGTACCAAATACAATCACCAAGAAGCCGAATGAATTTTAAACTTGCAATTTTTCAACAAAAAAAGCAGAGGTTTGCCTGCTAGTTATACCCTTCAAGTTGGTCCCTTTCTGTGATTTTTTCTTTCTGGTGGGCTGCTGCCGAGAAGTTACAGATGCAGGTGGTTATTCAGACGCAGAACACTATATGGAAATCTTCTCTTTCTTGTCCAAATTTGTGCTATGATTTTAACTAGAATTAATTGATTTTCATAGCTTTATTTTAACAAACTTTGTCTTTTATTTTTTCTTTTTTTAAAAAATAGTGTGGTTTTATACTAAATGGTTATTTTTGAATCAATTCAAAATATAATTTCCTTAGTAGGGAAACAGCTTGTTTGTGTTGTGTGAATGAAGCTTGACAATTCATTAATTTCCCTATTTTAATATTTTTGTACAAAGTTCTTTGTTAAATTGCATTGAAGCAAGTATTGAGAAGGTAAAATATTCACAATACCTACCCTAGATGATTCTCATTCCATATAATGTAAATACAGGTTAGTTTCTCTTCATAAGTGTCCCAGTACTTGACTACATTTGTCCCAGTACTTGACTAGAAAATTTAATTAAGTCCAGTTCGATATGAAAAAGGTGCACCAAAAAGCACCTTAACTGCTCATCTGATGTATAGAATGTCTGTTTTAGAATCAAAATTATAAAGTGCATCGTTAAAATCAAGTATTTCACAAGGAATATATTAAACAAATTGGTAGCTCAGTGTTTTCACTACAATGCAAGAATCTCGCATGTTTTTTTCTTATCTCGCATTAAAAATTATTAACGCGAGAAGTTTGCTCACTCTATTAATCAATTTTAAAATGGCGAATCTCGAGAATTTTGGAAAAAATTTCGTATTCCGCCATTTTAAATAAAATCCGCTTCACTTTCATTATTTTCACCGTTAGTCATTGTTATCTAGCTTCCCTATTTACAGTATTGCTCAGAACAGGTGCGAACAGCAGAACCCCGAACCACAGAACCCCTTACAGAACACGTTTTTCTGCAACCACGTGTTCACCGTAGGTAAGGTTTCTTCATGTAAGATGTTTAATTTTTTGTGCATGAATGTAAGATGAACAAATACCTTGTTAAGGCAACATCTTCTATTCCGTAACGGACAAATGAAAATGAAACAAATGTCGGTAGAAACTGTCAGAACGAAACAAATACAGATATTTTTCAGCTAAATAAAAAATCTGTTGAGAAGAAAAATTAGTCCTTTATAATAAGTTATTTAAAGTCAGCTATATTTTTATGAATTACCAAACTCCCTCATCGACAATTTACAGCAATTTGTAAAAGTTAAAGGCTGTGAAAACTATGCTATATTGGAAGACATAGCATGAAGTATGAACATGGAAATAACTTCAACGAACTTCACTATTCTATAGCAGAAATAATTGAAAAGTCTGTGCTGGCAGATGTAAAGGATAGGTCAGCATCTGTTGCAAGGTCATTTAGCACCCAAAACCGATTTAGGACAAAATTTCGTAACAGATTGACTAATAATCATTTGAGCAACCTAATGAGAATAGCTGATGAAAAAGTAGATATATATTAACATTTTCCATATGATGATACAGCAAAAATATCCGATGCTTTAAAAATTAGAAGATGTTTAAAATGTATTATAATTAAAGAAATATTTTTTATCCAAGTCTATTCGTGTTTTTTTAATTTTTAGAAATCTCACTTAACTTTTTGAAATCTCACCCTGTTTTTGAAAAGGGTGGGAAATTCTCTCCAATTTTTTTTCTGTAATGAAAACACTGTGGCTTGTATGTGGACTTTTATTCCTTATCATTTATGTGATTTAATTGTTAAGCTTCGAATTTTAGGAGTACTAAAATCAACATTGAAAACAAAAAATTTAGGTGCTTCTTTTTTTTTTATCATTTTTATCCGTTGTGATTTTATTCATGCTCTAATTGCTTTGAATATTAGATATGTTTACTACATATCTGATATTCACTTATCAGGGTTGATTGTATTCTGGGTTTTTCATATCATTCTTCTGCATCTATTAACTAGATGTAGTTTTTTTTTTGTGAATATCTCAAAATTCCATGTATCTCAAGACCATTGGTTTGCAGCCTTCCGCAAAAAAAAAAACTTATAATCCAACTTATGATCTGATTCTAAAACTTTTGCTAGATTCTGTTAATGAAACTTTACATACATATGACTTTTTCGCTAATTTGATTCTTTTGGTTTGGCAGGGTTTTGTAATTTTAAATGTTTGCAACTGCACCAGAATCTGCCAATATTGTAATTCTTATTCAAGTGATTTTAATATCAAACATAGATTTTTGTATTTACCTGATTTAAAAGTTATGTGTTGCTATTTGTAGTCATACGATTTAAAAATCGTGTTGGAAGATATTTCTAAGTCCAAAGTGTCAACAAATAGATGGGCAGTGTTTTCCAGAAGAAAGATGTGTCACAGCTTGGAGGAAGTGAGGGTTTTATTGTCAGTTATGTTCTGCTCTTGGTAAAGTGATGAATAGTTGTTATGTGTAGTTTTTAACTTTGTGTTTATAGTTTTATCTTATTTTCAATAAACTTAGTTTTTAAAACAGTTGTACAGCCCTTCTGTGAGCTGAATGCTTTATTTTTGTAATTTAAATTCTGAAACTTAATAAGTATGTTTTCTTTTTACAAAAAATCCTACATTGTGAATCCTTTAACACACGATTTAAAAAACAATATCGCGATTTGTATTTACACATTTTTAAAACCCAAAATTACAATTCACATTCAAGTGATTTTAAAATCCAATATTGCTCATGTTCATGCAATTTTAAAATCCAATGTCTTGATTCTTGTAAGAAGTAAGTTTTTTCTTGAATTAGTTAAACTGTGTAATATTCTTTACTTGTAGGTTACTTAATTATGAATAATACATCGATTTTTTGCACATAAAATTTTCAGGGTTTTTCATTTTGTGTCATAATTATGTAATGAAGAAAAGAAAGTATTATATATCTCATAAAGTTTCTGTATTTTTTATTTATAACTTCATTATTTTATGCAAAATTTTTAAATAAAAGAGAGAATATGTAATTTAAATGTGAGCAATCAGTTTAATACCTACATGTTATAGTTGTTTTTAATGAAATTTTTAGGTTTTTTTAATTTAAATTTTTAATGAAATTAGTTAAAGTTTTAATATATGTTTTTATTTTTCAGTGTTTTTAAATACCTTAGGAGTGAATCCTAAAGATCATGGAATCAGAGTTGAGCTGGTAATATTCTTATTACTTTTCAGAAAGCTTTTTATAAATTATCTTGTAGAATATTTTATTATTCTTGCATTAACTGTTTTTAAAAATTTTTTTACATCAATAGTTAAATATCTGTTTCTACAATAGTTATCATTATTTAGATTTGACTGTAATAGATTGATAATTTAACTATTTATTTTTAAGTATTTATTTTTAATTCAACTCATTGCATATTATTTTTTTATATATTTCAGCTGTGTAAAAAATATAAATGCATACACTTTAATTTTTTATCTATTACAATAAAAGATGGTTCAGATAATTATAATGCAAACTTTACCTGTATTTTCATTTCATGTCATCAGCATGTGGCTATATTTTCAGTTTCTTCTTAATTATTTTTTTTAAAGTACTTTTTTTCCTTATATTTAAATCATGTTTTCTACAGTCGAGGATGTTATCTCTGGTTCTTGATGCTTCTTAGATTCTAAAAAAACTATGTCATATTAAGCTCTCGATTCATACTCACACGAGTTTAAAATCCAAGGCCATGATTCATATTCATGCATTTTTAAAATCCAGTACAGCAATTTGGATTCACACATTTTTAATATCAAACATCGATTTTTGAATTTTTATACATGATATAAAAAACTACACACATTGCAATCATATTTACGTGATCTAGTGATTCGTATTTGAATGATTCAACGATTTTATATCGCAAGTTGCATTTTCGCGCTTTTTAAATTCCAATATCACGATTCATGTTCACTCGGTTTTAAAATCTAATATCGCGGTTCTTGTTAGAAATAAGCTTCTTGAATAGTTGCTCTAAAGGTGTGATATATTTTGCAGGTTTATTTAATTATAATTGTTAGTTCAAAAAATTATGTTAAATATGAAAGATGTATGGTATATAAATTGATTTAGATTTTCCCCACATAAAATTTTTGGGGTTTTTCTATTTGTGCCACAATCACCCCTGTTATATAAAATATAAGTAAATTCGTACCTGTCTCAATTGAATTTATTTTTTATCAATTTATATATATATGTCAGAATATAATAATACTCCTCATGCTGTTACAACTTTTTCACCTGCTTATTTAATATTTGGCTCCTTGCCTTTTGATTCCCCTATTGATCAACCTTTATACCCCCCAGTAGAAAAAGCCTAGAAAAATTACTATCTTGTCATCAATATAAAAAAGGATATTAAAATATGACTGCAAATATTATGGAATGCAGTATTATGATTAATTAAAGGCCACAGTTCAAGAGTTTACGAGAAAACACGAGAAGGAGCACTACATATATATATATTTGAAAGTTACATTTTTTTTCTTGTAATTTAAGCCAGAAATAGTTTTTTTTTCCCCCAAAGAAAGTAGTGTCTAGTTTGAAGAGATAGAAAATACCATTTCAGGGCAAAAGTGACTGTCTGCATCCGGTTACGGGAGTGTCCGCTTTGTGGAGAATGTATATAATGCTTTATTTATAGAAGATTCACTGGGAATTTAAAATATGTCTGCCTTGAGAGGCACCCGTTTTGCAAGAGTGTCCATAACAGGAGGTTTCACTGTGTGTGTATATATATATATATATATACATTGGCTACATTGAATGAGATGTTAAATGTTTTGTCAGCACACAGATTATTTACAAAAGGAAAAAAGTTAGTCCTTGATACTGCTTTGCAATTTTATTAGCATAATTTATTTTAATTGCATAAATTGACTGAACCCAAATACATATAAAAATTATTAAGACTTAAATTGAATTAATATATTGCTTAAAATGCCTCTTAGAAATACCTCTTTTTGTAGTAAACTTTCAAATTTCTCTAATAATTAAAATTAAAGAAATATATAAAATTTATTCCAGATTATTAATTTCATATGCTAATAGCTATATTAAATTTAATAATCTGGTGTGAAACTAGTTCTATCCTGGTGTTCTTTATCCAATAAGAATAGTCAGTGTGAACAGTTTCATATAATTGTATTACTTCTTAGATGTATGGATATAATAAATTCATTAGTCCTCCTTACTTATACTACAAAAAAATTGTATTTGTCTTTAAAAGAATGAAACTCTTTTTAGGAGCGATATAAAAGTTTCATGCAAAGAATAAAGGAAATAACTGATAAAGACAAAGCTCCTGTTTTAAACAAAGATGCTGCTCAAAGATTTGTTAGGAATGCTTTGTGGGAACCAAATGAACAGAAAGGTTTGTAGTAAATTTTTGATCATGCTCCTTATCATTTTAATCATACCAAGATTTTCTCACCAACAGCTTAACACTTCAGAGCTACCATCATGTAAGGGTTCAATATAAACACAATTCAGGACAAATGATCATTTCTCTCATTTTTCAAAAATTTTAAAATCAAATATTTAATGTATTTTTGAGCAAAAAAAGAAAGTGTATACGTAATATAAAATGCATTTTTAAGATAAGATGCAAAATATAATAGTTGAGAAATGGTAAAACAAACTGCTTGAGAATTATGGGGTCTAATTTAAAAAATAATTAATAAACCTTCAAGTTATTCTCATTGTTTTAGTTTATTTCAATAATTTTATTTATAATGAGCATCAGGGTTCAAAAATTACATTACTTGATGTGCCCATGAAACTTAAAAATTATTAACTGTGTTTATATCTTAGCATGTAAATCACTAAAATGGCAGATCAATAAATCACTAAAATGGTAGATCAAGTGAAAAAATACACCAAGGGAGAAAGAAAAAAGAATAAAAAAATCAAATATTTTTGATAAGATCTAAATGTTACTGAATTTAATTTTATAAAAAAGAATTTAATTATGTGAACAAATAAAAATTATGCAAATGAGAACCTAAATTAGCTTTCTTATTACCCTAGCCACACTTATTTTTATTAGATAAAGTTTACCCTAATTGTTTTGTATAAGGAAATACTTGAGATGCTTATAACATCAGTTTAATGTAACGTGTTGTAAAGCATGCATTTGCAGATAATACGTAATAATTTTTGATAATATTTCTTCCTTGATAATAATACTCTGCCTTTACTCCATAAATTCTTATTTGTGCTTCATTATACTTCCTCGTTAGTAGCGCCTAATACTCTTTTGCTTATACTACTTATATTTGTGATTTGTACTTAAAATACTGTTAATGTCATTTTTGTTCAAGAGATAAATAAATACATTCATATATTTTCATTAATATGCAATCAAAATAGAAGTTTGGTATGCAAACTATTTATTTGAATCTGTACTTTATTGATTAACATATTTGGCAGAGCATGTAAATATTGTGAGATTTTTAGAATCCTGATATGTGTTTATTTAAATATATAAAAAAATTTCATCTGGTCTAACGTTTTTTAGGTACCTTCTTTAAAAATGAAATAATATGTGCCTTTGGCTCAATCATCTTTCAAAAGCTCTCCTAAGTAATTTCTTGCTGATATCAAAATGAATATTTTTTTGCAATGTGTTTTTGTTTCCAGTATGTTACAACTATTATGGGCACAGTTGGTAATAGCGAAGCAGCACTGCAACTAAGTCCAATTTGTTGTCACTATAATTGCGCATGAAGGGAATGCTGTTTTGTTGCAAGTAGAATACAACTGTTGACAGCTAGAGGTACAAAGTAATCCTTAAACTCCCAGACTTTTGCCAGAGTTCCATTCGTTAATGCAATTTACCATATCGCTATGTCGCTAATGGCATGATACCAGCAGAGGAAATTAAAGCTGTCTCTCAGAGCTTAACCCTTCTGAATACGAATTTCTCAGCTTCAAATGACTCAGACAGTACGGTATAATGCCTGAATAATCAAGGGTTCCCTCTTTTCAGCAATTTATCTGATTACATCTGTCAGTTGCTGAATATAACACTACAGCTAGGTTAGAAGAGATAGGAAGTAGAAACAGACACCTAGCTATATTTATATTGCTATCTAATTTACATGAAATTGATTTCAACCATTTAATGTTTAATATTACCTAATAACTATTAGATATTACCTAAACAGGAAAATCTTTGCTAATTACCCTTTACCATATTGACTTTCTCTACGAATTATGCAAAAAGACACTGTTCACGTTGTTCTATTCAACGTTTTCACAATTAATTCAACCCCAATCTATTTTGGCGAGTGCTTAAAAGGTGGTTATTTTTTGTTGAATAATTGGGCTATGCACCCTGATGAACCTTCAAAGTAAATGAAACCCTAAATTTTGACTATCAGCATCTGTTGGGCTGAGATAGCCTGGTTGGTTGTGCATGGGACTCATGTTCGTGAGGGCGAGAGTTCGAATCCAGCTGGCCGAAGAATCCCTGTGTATTAAACGGTGACTGGTGCACGTTAAATCTGTCATGGTCACAAAGTTGTCCAAGTTCCTATTACAAATCATTACAGACCTGAATATTGGTAGCCGTATACTCAAAAAAATTAGGTCTGCTGTTCAACAGCGGTTATAAAATAAAATGAAATCAACATCAGTTGACCGACGCTTTTAATTTCATCAATTGTTAGAACATTGCAAGTAATGGGTTGTTAATGTTTAGTCTCCCATGAATTAAGAACTGCTTGTTTACAATATTGTTTTTATCAATTTAAATAAAATCAGAATATAATTTAATAGAAATTATTGGAGTTTAGCAAACTACAGTGAACACACCCTGAAGCTTTATAGCTATGAATAATAATAAATAGAAAAACATTGCAGAATAAAAGAAAACAACAAACTGGTTTAAAGCAGGAATGACTAAACTTTTTAATTCATGTTTTACTTTATGGTGTAATATCACCATAATTCATTAAAGTAAATTTTTGTTCAGGGTTAGTAAGCTCACATTTTCTAATACAACTTTTTCAACTCAGTGATGCTTGTGCTTGCACCCAAAGTGATTATAATTTTTGGAATGGTAAGATAAATTTTTAATCTTGTGAAAACAAGCATTACAGAGAATTAAGTTTGCTTAAATTTAATTATGAGCTTTCACATTGGAATAATAATCTCTAAACCTGAGATCTCCCATCTATGTTTCATTTTTTTAGGAGTTACTAAAATAGTGTGATGATTATAAATATTCTTAACTAATCTTATACCTCTTAATTTTACTAATATTTCTATTTAGAAATTGAATAGAAAGAGAAATAAGGCCTAGCACTTTTTTTTACTTACAGCAAAGAGAGAAGTCATGTTCCTTATAATTTTAACTTATGATAATTTAAATATTTTTACAATTCCCCTTGAGCTTGAGTTAAAAAGTGTTTACTGAATTTCCATTTCATTTTATCATTTCTATTCTTATAACTTGGCTTCCTTATTATATTACTTCATAAAACTTTGAAAGTCAAAAAAACTTTTAGTTGCACAAAAAAATTCAAATTAAAAATACAATTTTAACATTGTGGTAAGTGGAAATTGATGGTAGTTAGAGCTGCAATAGCTATGTGGCGTACTATGATTTTGACAGTTTAAAGTTCACCCAAATACAGATCCATAAGTGCATTGAAAATAAAGGTGTGTGGTGTGCAATGCTAATCACATTGTCATCATCATGTAGTTGGTTTCAAAATTCCCTTTTTTTATTCTTTTTTTTTACAACAAGAAAATCAGAAATTTTGAATTGCACTTTTAAGTTTTTGAACACGTCAAATCTTAATCAATGTAGTCTTTTGATTATTTGGTGTGTGTGTTTNTTTTTTTTTTTTTTTTTTTTTTTTTTTTTTTTTTGGTGATTATCACTACAAATTTCCATGGTTTTAAAGTTTTTTTTTTTCAGTAGATACATTTTAAAAAATTTTTGAAATGTCAGTACAATTATTAGTTTGACTGAAGTTTTGAAAATATTTGATATTCAATAAAACACTTGATTTTAGATATCACGAAATTTTTTGTGTCACCCTTCAACTTTGTGATATCGAGTTTTGGTTATAATTTAAATATTATTCTAAGCCTGTTTGATTTTTATGTATTATTATTATTAAGATTGTGACGTACATTATAGAAGATTTCTATTATGTTAATTGGGATTTTTTTTAAGAATGTTTTATTATAACAAATGTGTTCATTTTTATGCAGAAACTTCTGACTGTTCATCTAATCAAGCTTTAAATGTTAAAGAAGACAAAAGAAATTGTAGTTTTACAGACCATGGGAAGAAAAAGAAAAGAAGACACTGATACGTTACTGTAAAAATATGTAAATAGTCAACTTTTTAATAAAATTTACTTTGAAGTAAAGATATGTCATTTTTGATTTTACTTTATTTTCATTACTCCAGAAGTGAAAAATGAAATAGTTGATGCCTGAAATGTAATACATGTAAATGTATTGTGCAATCTCACAGGAAAGGCAAAAAATTTGAGATAAAGTGGTTTTGAGTTATATGAGTATTTTAAAAAGTTAAATTTAATTAAGAAATCCTATTAAAAGTGATTTAATTGTTTTTAGTCGAAAAAAACAAGCATTTCTGTAAATTAGTTATACCATGTACATCTATTTACATAAAAAATAAAAAAAATATTTAACATACATTTAACACTGAAAATAATTTTTCAAAGATTTTTGAAGTCTAACCTTTTTTGTTTCAATAATTTTTTTCAATAATTCAAGAAAGAGCAGCAAATCCCCCATAGCCAATATTTTCTTGGGATTCAAGAAAAGTTTGTAAGTGTTCTACAGCTTTTTCTCTTGCTCTCACTTTCGGTTGTTTATCAATATGATTTTCAACTTCTTCATCTGATATTCCTTTGACATTAAGATTTCCTCATGTTGCCATGCAGTTGTCTACTTGTAAAAACTTCAAAATTAATTTCAACATTAAATCCCGATTTTATTGTATTCCATTCTTGCAAATCTAGCACCTTTTTTTTCTTCTTTCCCCCAAGCCCTGAGCATGTACCTAGCACTGAGCAAATCTAGCACTGTATTTTCAGCATCATCAGTTTCTTCTTCTTTACTGATGCCTTCAACCTCTTGTCCATATTCACAGCTATTTTTAAAACCAGCCATTTTAAATCTATTTTGGATAATTTTTAGAGACACATTTCTACAAGCAGAACAGTCATTCTGATAGCGTCGAACACATTTATTTTTGGAAGAGTTCTCTAGTTTTTTCTATAGTTCACTTTAAAACACCTAATTATCCTTTGATCCATTGGTTGCAATTTTGAGGTGAAAATGAATTTCTATTCCTAGCTTTCCTATCTATGTTGAAAAGCTAATCACTGGTGGTCACTCCATCCTACTCATCAATCCCTCACTTATTGCCAGAATCGTTGTATTCTTTTCAAGTTAAGGAAGTGAAGGGACAGTGATCGAAATTCCAACAAACACCCCAACCTGTTCATCTCTACTTCCTGTGGGTTCACAAAATTCATCTCCGTCTGCAAGTTCTACTGATAAAGTTATGTTATTTGGACATTGTTTTGTTGCATGTGCAATTAGCAAACCCTTCTTTTTCCTGCACTTAAAAACGCACTGTCTCTATCATACTACAAGCTTTATTACTACGGCTCTGAATAGAAACCATATTTGATAAGGATTCCGCCCTGTTGTATTATATCTTGGCCATTCCACATAAGAAATTTCTAGGTGCACTAATATTTACCGTTCACATTTCTTGCATATGAGCCATGCGAGAAATTAAGTAAATTTTTTTTTATTTCCAATGGCAGAGAACTTGAAAAAATTGTGAATGCAATGAACAATAAAATAAGCATCTCGTTCAGCTTTTCACCTTCCAGTACCGCTTGACTACTGTATTTCCACGAAGCACTTCACAGCATAGAAGGTGATGTTGTTCTCTCTGTTCAGACATGTTGCTCTCTTAATAAAGTGCATTTTAAAATTCTCAAAAATTTATGTTTCATTTTAAATTGCAATATAAGTTTAATATGGAATTTTCATGGGATTGTTTTAATTTATGTGATTTGTCTACGATCGTAGTTGATTCGTATGATCGTTGTGATTTGTGTTCAAAATTTACGTGTTGGTTGGTTGGTGTCGTATCCTCTGTAGAATCATATTTCATGGTGTGCTTGAATAGTTTTTGTTATTTCTATGGCATTAAAAGAGTACAAATCCTCTTCTGTGGGGTAGTTTAAGAGGTGAAGGCCTGCAGCGACTGCAGGGCAGTTAAAAACATGATATGGTGTCAGTTCCACATTAAGACAGTTGCCACAGTTTTGATATTTTCTAGTCTTATCTGTAGAAATTTTCATGTTTTTATGATGTTTTGTTCTTAGTCTGATGAGAGTAGTGGCTGTCTTCCTATCGATGTCAAGATTAGTTATTTGATCGTGGGCTTTGAAAATTTACGTGTAGTTTTACCATTAGAGATTTTTATTTTTTAAATTCTAACAAGTCGTGAGCTTAAGACAAACGTAAGAAAATTGATATTACAACATAAATAAGGTGTAAGGTATGTGTGGGGGCGGAGTAATCGACCATGCCAACCTGCATCTATGAAAAGGTACCCCCGACATAGAGTCGAGTTAACATGTCTTATATACTAGTGAATTGTAGTTGTAATTTAGTAGTGGTAGTTACGCTACAGTACTCCCCTACTAGAATTTTATCTGTGATAGAATTCGATGAACGAATACCACTAGTTGAATTCATTGCTGTTTTGTGTGAAGCCGGGAGAGCTGTATTAAGATCACCGTATTTTTTTAGTGCTGAATGTGAGAGGTGTTTTAACTTCACGGTCGATCGTAGTCGCTCCTCTGTTGCCGTTAGCAGTCGAGTGATCACAAGTATGCAAGGTGACGTTGTGCGTGATCGAGACGAGACTGAGTAGCAACAGTGCGAGGAGGTGGATAATGTCGCAGTCACAAGCTGCAAGTCAACTTTTCAATGTGGATCATCCATCGAAGTAGGCGTTACTGTCTAGGTAGGCGTGTTCACATCACGTCCGAAGGTCACCAATATGGGAGCGGAGTAATCGACCATGTCAACCTTCATCTATGAAAAGGTACCCCCGACATAGAGTCGAGTTAACATGTCTTATATACTAGTAAATTATAGTTGTAATTTAGTAGTGGTAGTTACGCTACAGTATGCCATGTTTTTGACGTTATCCCTTATTGACTACAATTGGCGATCGAAATGGGCTGCAGATGGCGTAGAGCAGAACTACCCATGGCAACACTTCGCATGCTTTCCCCATTAGCGTGTGGAAAGTCATAGAGGAAGGAAGTACGCTAGTTTCTCTCTTGATTTTCATATAGATTAAAATTTTTTAAGCTAGAAAATGTATATGGAACTGAAAACAACATTAAACATAGTTCTAAAGAATATCGCCCCCCAGTGGACTGATCGTTAAGACACGGTTTCCAGCAGATCACCGAAGTCAAGCATCACTGGCTGCGGTCAGTGTGCGGGTGGGTGACCACTTGGATCAGTCTGCGTAGGGATCGAGGGTGTGCGGTATNATTTTGGAAAGACTTATTCGGATAATGGCTTTGTCTAAAAAATATCGATGGTTAAATCCTTTATTTTAAATATTAATTATTTGTTGCTTGTAAACTGAAGTTGCATTTTAATGTAAAGGTTCTCGATTGGGTAAATTTTTGACCGCTTAAAATTTTAAACTTACTTATCACCCCAGACAATATATAAATTTTAGAAAAATGTGTGTGCATCATGAAATTTTTAAACGAACAACAGCTAAGGCAAAATTTACTTTATTAATAATTATGTATTTGTCGATCTATGTGTTTGGATTAAATTAGATCATATAAATTTTAAATAATTTTTTCTGTAAACATGCATTTCGTCTCTATCTTTTTTTTTATATTTTCACCTAATTGCCGCTTGAGTGTAAAATTTAAGATACGACATTTTTATTAACTAAGGTTTAATGTAGTAATTTGGTCACATAACAGCCTACTTTGGTTTTAATAAACCGTAATTATAGAAACTTCTCAGAACTATTCAAAATATTTAATAATAATATTACATTACCTTCCTTTAAAAATCATTTTATGCCCGCTCAAAATAATATATTTTTTATCATAGATTATTGTAAAACAGTTTGTATTTATTATATTAATTCAGAACATTTCTTCTTAAAAAATTAAGTTTCTATACTCTATTTCATTTTTTTATTTATTTATTTTGTGAAATATGTGAAAATTGTGTGACGAATATGAACAAAAGAAATTAATATGTGTTTTTAACATTTTAATATTAGCGCAGATTTTCTAAATGTGTTTTCAGTTATTATTGTACTATTGTTAAATTTTTGTTTCTTTACATAAAAATAATATTCCATTTTGCTCAAATTTAAAGGAAATATATTAGGGGGGGGGAGGGTGTCATTACGATGCACAGAGTTTCGACCTGTTTTTCTAATCTAAGCTTCTAGGGAAAATTTTAAAGATCAAAAACTTAAATTCGATGAAAAATGAATGACATGCTTACTAAGGGGAAGTACGTTTTTATATTCGATTTTATTGCTCAAATTATTTTAGCTTATTTCTATGGATTTAAAGAAAAATGAAGTAATTTACAATTTTATCGTAATATTTCGTAATTTAAAATAAAAGATTTAACTTTTCTCTATCGAGCCATTAAAATTTTAATAGTACATGATAATCTAATACTAATACGTAATAGGATTATCAAAGGTAATTCTTTTTCTAATTTACTTGATAGGTTCCAACCACCTTCGGACTTATGTTATAAAGTGAACAAACAAAAATCAAAGCGAAGAATTTTTAATTTAAATTCACAAACTTTTAATTAAATATTTAATTCTTTTGAATAGTCCCAAGTCTACAATATGATTTTATAAAAAGTTTTATTACCCTAAAAAAGAAAAAAAAAGCGAAACGAGACTAAAATGTCTATACTTTTAGTGTCTTTATTTTCCTTTAAAAATTTCAAGCACAATGGCTCAAAAATATGTACATAGTGGTTTCCATTTTCTCTAACTACTTTAATATTAATTATAATCAGCATTATTAAAGAAGGTATTTCTTGAATTATCACTAATAATCATCCGAGTTTAGAATATATTAAAGATAATAAAATCTATTGCGACTTTTGATTTCCAGGATCTTTTCCCCTTTCTAAACCAAAAGATGTCTTTTNATTTCAGTTTTCCATTTTCCTCTCAAAACACAATGATGCCAAATGGCTTTAAAATACAACTGAAACAGTAACCCGGAAATTTAGGCAGTCCCGAGCTTGCAGCGCTCCCTAGTGTAGAAAACACCATCCTGTTCTAGAAATGCAGGGGGGGGGAGGCTAGCCCAGAATTATGGTCATTACTTTAAACTAAATTTACGTGTTGCTTGATAATGAAGTTTTTAAAATTATTCATAACACAACTAAATTGCGATGTTATGTTATGCTAAATTATGGTGTTATGCTAGTAGATGTTATGCTAAATTTGAGGTTATGTTTATTTCAATTTTTGTTACTTCATAACTGCAAAAGATAATTCTTATGGAAAAACAAACAAATGAAGAAAAAAAAATCGTATTTGTAATATTACTATACCATCTTATATTTGTAAAAACATTCTTTATTTTTATTGTTTTTAGCTTTGATGAATTTAAATCAATTAAAACATAAATATTGTCTGAAATACCCCACCCTAACGACGACATAATATTAAGTAAACATTTGCAAGGAATAAATAAATTCCGAGAATTTGTTGCCAAACTCATACAAACACCAGCCAACAGCCACCATCTCCCTTCCCCCAAACAGTGATCTCATTTTTGACCAATTGCGTGATCCGGCCCAAGTGAGAATTAATCGCTCGTGCTAAAAATAGTAGGAGAGGGAAGGGAGAAGGCCCATGGGCGTGAAACCGGAGATCGCCGATAGTGTAAAATATTGCCATTTGTTATTTTTTTATTTATTTAATTTGCATAGTGGATAGCAGGCTTGCGGAATCTTCCGAATTCATTCGTTGTTTGTTTCGGTGAAATTTAAATTAAAGAACGAGCTATACGGTCACATCAATTAAAGAACGAGCTAGACGACAAGCTTTGACAACGCATTTTAACTACTAGCGCCATCTGTGCTTCGCTTTACAGGATTAACCATGCATAGTAAACAACTCAACTTTATTCGCATTTTTTGTGACGTTTATTGCTGTTGCGCGTTATTTTGTGACCCTATTATTGTGTGATGATATAATTGGAATATTGTAACAAAAAAACTCTTCATTTATTAAGTTTATATTACTAATGTGATAGTTCTAAACGATAGCTGTTTGCTAAAGTAATATCTCATCAAAATTACTTATTTGTGAGTTGATTCCATTTTCCTTTTTATTGTGTTAATTACGTTAAGCCTACCAACTGGCTCCTAAAAGTATGTCCCGTTATTCACGGCCACCTAATTCATCGTTATTTGTTCGGAATGTACCGGACAGCGCGAGGCCTGAGGAATTGCGCCGATTGTTTGGAAAATATGGACCCATAACAGATGTTTATATTCCTTTAGATTATTACAATCGAAGACCTCGTGGTTTCGCCTATGTACAATTTGAAGATATTCGGGACGCCGAAGAAGCTCTCAATGAACTGGACCGAATGCGCTTTTATGGTCGTGAATTGGAAATCGAATTTGCTCAAGGAGATCGTAAGACACCTCAAGAAATGAGAGGTAAAGAAAGGCGAGGTTCTCGTCGTTCACCCCATCGTGGAGGATCCAGTCGTTATGATGATCATCGTCGTCGAGGCCGCTCAAGAAGTCGTTCACCATATTACAGAGACCGCAGCCCTGGATACCGGAAGAGACGATTTTCTGGAAGCCGATCTCGTTCCCGCTCACGATCTCGCTCCAAGGAAAGGTACCACAGAAGTGTTTCACCGCATAGTGATGCATAGGTCCTCCTCCTTCCTGCGTTAAGTTGGACATTTTTAAAAGCTAGGCTTCTTTGTTTTCATAGTTATCATTTGATTGTATAAATGCCATTTATTATCTCTTAATCATTCTCTGTATTATCTATGTACCATGAATAAATCTTTCTTTGCGTAACTATAAATGTATGTAAAAAATTGATCAATCAGGAATGTTTATTTTCATTTACTAATTGCAGTTTACTGGATATCCAGAAACAAATCAAGCAAGTCAGGGTAGAGTAAAGAGTCAAGCTCAAAATGTAATTCCAAGGTTTCAAGTTCAATGCTATATTTTCCCTGTTATAAAGGTTGTGTAAAGAGAAGCCAGATAAAGTATACAAGGTTTTGCAAATTTCAAGTGTGCCCACAAGGCTCACCAAGTGTACAGTTAAGAAATTAAGGTAATTGGGATGTAGGTTTAATAATCTAAAATTCTCCATTAAAAAAGAAATTTTATATTTGTTGTAGCTAAATGTTTTAAACTTAAACAAATTAAAACTTAACGTAAGATAATTATTTATGCTGTTGACAATGTAAGTATTTGTCAGATTTTACATTTTAAGTTTAATAATTTAAATCAATTTATTTATTAATCTAAATTTAAGGAGTTTTAATTATCATGAAACTTGTATATTTAACTCATGATAAGCACAGCAATTTTGATCTGGTTATGCAGCTTACATTTGTCACACGAGAAAATTATTTCTTAGAAATTGATGTTAAATAAGCAAATATATGAAAAAATTTAATTCATTAATGTTTCTCAAAATTTCTTTTTTTTTAATGAAAATGTAAGATATATTTGTTTTTATACGATTTTCTTTCTGCATATTATGTTTTTTTGTTATAGAAGATTAAGTTGTGTAAACATCTTTTAAAGCATTTAAGAATATTGAGAATTTGTGATATTTAAAGTATTAACTAGATATGATTGCAAATTAGTGAGCCGCTTTAATTCCTGACAAGAATATATACATGAAGCAATTATAAAATGCATAAATCTCTAAAGTAATTGCTTGTTTTGAGGTATGGCACTTATGACTTTATGAAGCAGAATTTCTAAGCTTATTTGAATTTTTTTTAACCATTACAGTCCAATTTGCAAGGTAAAGTCAAGTTGAAACAAAAGAATTCAAGCATATAAAAGGTAGCATTCAAGACCTTATTTTGTAAAGAATCAGATATGTAGTTGGCTTGTAAAGAACCGAAAAAGTATTACAAGTTTTCAAGTAAAGTAACAAGTCGTCAAAGGATACTCAAATTTGCAAGCTACAAAACTTGCTTTGGAAAAATAAAGTACAGAAAAGTTAAAGAGGTAAATGGGAAATAGTTTTACTATTAAATCTTTAAGTATAATAATTTTCAGAAACCCAGTAGCAGAATTGGGTTTATCATTCTGAAGTATCCAAATAATGATTGACTATGCTTATTGTAATTGAATTGTTCTAGTATAGTTGGTGTATGCGACTTAAATTTATCTTTTAAAGGACTGAAACTATCTAGGTAAGATGTAGTTTAAATTGAATGTAATTGTATAAACAATTTCTGAGAAGCTTGTTAATTTGAAAAGTGCACAAAAGTTGAAAATACTTACACAGATATTGTTAACGGTTTCTGCTACTGGGAATTAAATCTTATCTCAATTCGATAGGGTAAATTTGCGGAGTATTTTGAAGAATTAGTATCAAACTTGGAGACTAACACATTAAGGGTATAAAGGAAGAAACATTTTTAGGGTTATTTATTTAGATTCATACATAGATTAATAAATTGCCATTAGATGATACTATTTATTTAGCTAATTCCTTGTTATAAAATGAGCTTTAAAAGATAAAACATTGTACTTTATAAGTTAATGTTTAACTATACCAGGGATGCTACACCTGCGCCATTTGCGACAAACTGAGACAAAACGGCATAACTGCGCCATTTTGCGACATTCAGCTCAGTTTCTGCCAAAGCTGCGCCATTCTGAGACAAAACGTCCAAAATTTGGCAAACCTGAATTCAGTTTCAAATATTAATCCGCATTGCCGTGAGTCATTGGAGATCATTTTGCCGTTCACGTCTCCAAGGGATGAAAGACTTCCACGAAAAAGCGGAAATCCGCTTTTTTTCTCCCAATTTTGAAAATTTCCGACCATGTTCCAAAAACTAAAATTTTTGGGAAGTCCTATTGGAGAAACCCAAGCCGCCCGAACGATAGTCGGATTACCGCGACTTCTGCTATAGAGTGGAAAGGAGTCTAAGCGTTTCGTTNATTGTTATCAAACTGATTAATAGTCATTTTAGTTGAGATAAACTAAGTCAAAAAATAATTTTAGTTGAGACAAACTGAGCCAAAAAGAGATTTTAACTGAGACGAAATGCAATTTCTGGTGAGACAATTTGATATTTTGCGAGTAGCATCCCTGCTATACTATTACTCTCAAATATGGTCGCCTATGTCGAGACACTTCAGACATTTTGAGTTATAAACAGTTTTAACTCTTGTAAAACTATTTGTAATCTAAAAAATTTCATCTTTAGGTTTATTCCATTAGAATTGTAATTCTTGATTCGTAGCTTCAGTGATGATTTTATCTATTATGGTCAATTCATTAAAGCATGTTTATTTCACTGACAATTGTCAACATTAAATTATTTAATGCTAGTATGAAGTTTTAGGTCATTACATTTCAATAAATTTTTCTATTACATTTTCAATAAATTTCTATGATGCCTAATAATTTGAACTCACCAACCATAAGAATTAATGTTCGATGGGTTATTTGACAGTGCCTTTGTGAAAAAATTATGGTTGTTAATTTTCACATCTATTTAGCCTTGGTATTAGAGTGGCCGAAACTGAGTGTCTTCAATTTTTTATTAGATGTTTGCATTATGTATTATATTTGTGACATAGCCAGCCTGACATTCTCCATACCCATAGCCAGACTGATTCTCCATACCCATTGGCAGAGAATCATTCCTGTCATATATATCTAGACTATGGCATTGAAATTTCAGTTCTAAAGATACTAACCAGACTAAAATTATTTTTACCACAAAGTATGGAAAAAATCTTTTTTAACTGTTAGCAAAAGTAGTATGAAGAGCATTTTGGGAAATAAAACTGAAAAGATATATATAAAAATGGAAACATATTTATAGCAAAAAATATTTAAAATAAGGTTTAACTGATTCCAACATCTTCCATATACGTAAGAAAAATATCAGATATGTTACCATACTTTTAGCACTTTGTGTTTATATACCACTGACTTTCAACCCTAAAATAACATTAGTCGGGGTCAAGATACATAAAAAAAATCTGCACAAACCTTTTAGCGAATTTTTAATCTGATTTCTGAAGTTGCATCTTGATATTTTTCCTAGGTTTTCAACATAAATGCAAGATTTGAGAAAATTGTGACTGGTACTTTGATTTGAAATACAATTTTTAAACAAGATAAAACTTGCTTGCCAGGCCTAAATATTTGATCACCATTGGCGAGTGGATTGGATTACATACTGATCAAGGCTTTTGCTTTTTGGCCCTGATTGTCTTGTTTGGATATGGTTTAATTTTGATATGTCAGCTATGCACTAGAAATAAAACTAATTTACTGATTGTTACTGTCGAAATCAAAATGTATGTACAGAATCAAAACATCCTGAACATTCATTTTCAAATAATTAATACGAAAGATAAGATAAGAGAAAAAATAACAATTTGATTTTCTGCTTGAAGTGCAATTTTTTATTAAATTAGCAATGTAAGACTATTAATATTTTTTATTCAATTGCTGAATGAGTTAAAATAATTGTTAACTTTAATTTTGTTGACTTAAAGGTATCAAATATATATTTAGATAGTTTCTTTAATCGATTGAGGTAAAAATAATGCAAATTTGCTTGCACGTTTTTGCAACTGAAAAATTTATATTACTTTATACTATTGAGATAAAATTGTATTTTTTACTATTAAGGTAAGATTGAAAGTATACTTAACCCTGTCATATGCAACATAAAATTGAGACGTAGATGTGTTAAAATAATGAGGGAGAAAAAAAAACAACATAGAATTATTGATATCTATTTTAGTGAAATTGTAGACAAGTTCTAACATTACATGCTGAAAGTTGGTTTTTTTTTTTTTTTTTAAAGAAAAACAAAAACATTATACCTATGTCTCTTGTTTTTTTTATTTTATGCTACATTGAAAATAAGCTTTTCATGTCAAAGCATGAGTTTGTTATACTTAAACAAACATATAATTCTATATAAAATTTTGTAACACAGTGTATGTTACATGCATCTAATACCTAGTTTAAAGAATTAATGGATAGTTATAATTAATAAAATCTTGATTTGAAATACTTCCTGGTTTACTTTGAAACATAAGTTTTCTATTAAATGTTAATATAATTTTTTTATTCTGTAAAAAAAATATCGATAGTTTTATTTTGCTTAATCTATAAAATCATTGTATTTTTAGGTTTGCCATTTTTATATCAAATTTTATAAAAGGGTCTAAACCTAATCAAATTTTTTTAACCATTCCAGTCCGCAAGGTAAAGTCAAGTTGAAACAAAAGAGTTCAAGTAAATAAAAGTTAATCAAGTTCTTATATCTAAACGGATCTCGGATACGTTTTGGGCTTGTAAAGATCACAAGTAATCAAGTAAAGTTACAAGTCTCCTCAAAAGACAAGTTTCGTTTAAAGATACAAAGGTCTAACATATTTGCAGCTAAGAACACAAGCGGTATAGCAAGTAGTCAAGTCTCCATAAAAAGATCAAATGGCAGGCCATGATGTTCGTTTCGGAAAAAGTACAGAAAATTAAGAGGTAAATGGGAAACAGTTTTATTAAAATCTTAAATTAAGAAATTAAGCATAAATTTGATAGCTTACTGCTTATAAATTTGTTAGATAAAATTTGATAAATACTGAAATTTTTTAACTTATGTTGCACTTAAAATAAAGAGAAATAATAGATACTATTTTCGCATCTTGTTTGTTCTTTATTTCATGTCTTACATTTCACATGTTGAAAATTACATTTTTAATTCACATTATCTTCAATGTTTGGTTAATTGTGTGTTGTAAAAGGTATGGTATGACAAAAAAAGCTTTTTCATTTTTTTAACACAAAGATAAAAAAAAGCTGACAACTTAATATTTTAAATGAAAAAAAAAATTATTTCATCACTTGTCTGAAAATTTAAATGCTTAATTTGCAGATAAAGGCTGTCCTATATATCTTAAGATCTAGAAAAGAAAAAAATTTCTTTTTTCCTGCTTGCTAAGCTTTTTATTTTATTATTATTGTAAATTGCAGAAACTGCAAAATTAAATTTTTTTTATATTATCCTGTGTGTTGATTAGGCATTTTTGTAATGTGTAGCTGACATATGTTTCTAGTATGCAACAATAAAGTCTAAGCTATATTTTCGGTAGTTTCTTCTAGCTAAAGACAACATAAATTGCAAATACTAATGCTTTGTAAATAGAACATTGAATTATTACACACTATTTTTAAAATTTACTAGCAGAATTTAGTTTAGCATTCCTCCTATTTCACCCTTGTCAGTGAAAATCAAATTTCATGTTTGAAGGTAAATCTTCTGAGCCAGTGGTACCCAACAGAAGTTGAAAACAAGTACTTACTATATTTGCTTAAATTTTGATTACAATTACTTAGTACAATTCAATAAAAACTTAGAAAGTACAGAAGTACTGGAGCTTTTATAATTTTATATGTTAATTAATTAATACCTCTTCAAAAGTCCACTTTTTAGTGAAACTTTTGCATTCTCATTATGTTTTTGCTCACAAAATCTAATATTTAACAAAACAAATAAAATAAAGTTTTCTGAAGAAAAAATTAATGTGTAAAATATGGTATGGATTTCCATTAAAATTTACCTAGTATGCCTGGGAATTTTTTTTTTTCCTTCTGAAATTGAGTGGGATCTTTAACAAAGCATGCAAATGAAAATTAACTCTTGTTTTTTCTCAGAATTGAATTAATACAAATTTTAAAAGAGCATGAAAAATTTAAGGTAATACAATTTTCAATTCAAAAATATTTTGAAAAAATGGAATGGTGAAAAGGACTTTCAACATATTAATATGTAACTATCAAATTGGTTATTTACCTATCTGTTTTAAAAGTAGTAAAATAAAGGTATGCTATAATAGTAACTGTAATGGTCATTTTTTAACTCAAAGTAGCTTTCAGCATATCAATATGCTAGAAAGCAGTATAAATAGAACAATAGACATAGATTGAATTTTTAATATTTTCACATCATTCTCTTGGTTTTTTAAAGCATTTATTTTTTAAAATATTAGTCAATGAAATTATACTGCATACATGTAATAATTTTTTACACTGTTAAATAAAATTCAAAAAAGCAAGCATCTAATTCCCATTTATGCTTTCTACACATCAAAAGCACAATTAACCTATTTTAGGCCATGCATTGAAATTTTATTCAATGCAGCATTATTTTAATTTATTAAGATAAAAAAAAAAGTTTCATGAATGAAAAATATTTTTAAAAAGGTGTGTGTATGCACCATTGGCCAGATAATGGACAAACCATTTAGTTGAACACTAGTTTTTTTTTTAAATTCTATTTACAGACCTTGCAGCATTAATCCATCCTAAAAACATATGATTTATCTGAAATTAAATAATTGTGCATTTTCGAAAAGTCAAATTTGTCAATCATTTCAAGTTAAAAAAACTTGGGTAGTTTAAAAATTTTTCAATCAAAAGTGTTTACTCCCAATTGAATTACTAGTATTTCATAGATGTCTTCAGAACCCTTGATAATAGATTAGTGATAAATGCAGTGCTAATAAAAAATATTTATTGAAATAGTGCATTTACGCACTTTTAAGCAAAAGTAGGTTAACGTGATTAAAACGGAACTTTAATTGCATTTTTTTAATAATTTTAAAAACTATCTGAACATGGAAAAGATAGTCTGTATGATTAAAAGAAGTTTTAGAGACATTATGACTTGTTGACTTTACATTTACTCTAATTATTTTATGATTATATTTTAGCAGAAAAGCAATAATATATAAATTTTTAAAAGTAACATCACATGTATTAATTTACAGTAACATTCTCACATTAGTAATTAAACCGAAGATTAAAAAGATTTTTATGGAAAAATTTACAACTTAAAATTCAAATGTTTGAAATAAAATTATTTTTGTGAATAATGAAAATTGAAGTTGTTAAACCGATTTTCTTTAAAAGAAAAAGAAAGAACCCTGTTTGGTTTAACAAAAAATTTTGTTAAACTGGTGTATAAAGTGATTATAAGTTGACACAAAATTTTCAGAGTTTTCACATTATGTCACTATCACTCCTGTCTGCTAATTCTGGGATGCACGGTCAGACTTGCAAAGACAAAACTCTTGCACAATTCCCTGTGTGGCCTTCTCATTTATAACAATTTCTAAGCCTAAAAACTCCTGCAAGTATCTTCAGTCCTGATTCCTGTAATGAAATTTAACATAACTACGAAAAAAAATTGGAGGATAAGGCTTCTTGTATTCTAATTCTTTAAATCTGTCAATTCTTATCTCTCTCTGTTAACCGTACAGGCAGTCTTGTCACCGCCTGAGCCTCCAAAGAATCATTTATTAATTCAAAATTTTGTTTTCAAAATATTACTAATTTCTTAAACTCTTTTCTGAAAAGCGTAACCCGAATTCATTTTCTAAAGATATGAAGGGGTATGCATTTGGAATCTATAAGCATAAGAAACCTCATTCCCCTTTGAATACTATGGAAATTAGCGACTGCTGACTAAGTAAAATTTTCATCAATTTTTTGTATTATGTTTTCAGACCTGTCACTTTTCTGCAAATTTCTCTTTTTTCCCTACCAAATTTCTCTTAAACTTAATAACTCTAAAATTTTAAAACTTACGTGTTGAAATGCTTCATATATTCTACCCGATAAGAAAGAATCATCATGCATCATATACTTATCAGTAATGGAAACTTTCTTCCGAAGTTGAAAAAACCACCCCGTAAGAAATGTATTTCTGCCAACCCAAGTGACAAAAAGGAAAAAAAAAATTTTAGTAAAGAAATCTCAAATATTAATTTGAAATGTTAACATTTAACTGTAATCTAATTTAAATAATTGTTTCCAATTAAATAAGTCAAGGTGAAAATTGGAAAGAAATATATAAATGTACTGAATTGAATTTTTAGGATATTAAACAGTATTTTTTTAAATTGTATTTTTTTAAAACTTTTTTGTACTATAATTATATTTTGTTTTTAAATGGAACTATTCATTCTTAACAAGCTATGTTTATACAAGTGTATTAATCAGAAAAACTTAAACAATTATTAGCACCAAAGAAGCATTTTAGTTTCTTCCATTTCGTACACTTTCTTCCAGTGTCCTTGAAAAAATTGTTTTTATTCTGGTTATAATCCAAATCAAATCTTGTGTAATGGAGAAGAGTTGAAGTTATATAGTTTTTGAAATGCTGCAAAGAACTTGCACTTTTACATTTGGTTTTGTAAAATCTTCGGTATTTTGACTGATGCACTTGAAACTGCTTTGTTAAACTCTTTAGTTTTAAAGGAAAAGGACTGCATCATGATAATTTAAGTAATAATAACAAGCAAATTAATATTTATATGATGTTTTATTTTATCCTGCATCTGAGATTATCTTATAGTCTGTTCAGATTATCGATAGAATTCATTGTTATTCGACAGAGTATTTAAAGGCTTAAAAGTTCTACTTGTCTCACGCTATTCGTATTTACTTGTGATCGAGTACGTAAATCACATACAGGGGCAATTCCACTTAACTGTAAGTTTTAGGTATTTTAAATTCGAAATCCACCACAACCTTGGATCTATCTTCGACTTCTGCTAATCTTTCATCACCTTGAGAAACCATTCACACTAAATACGATTCATGCACCTCCGCTTAGCAGGGATAAAAAAAAAAAATAGGAGTCTAAACTGAACATGCCGCCGATAGTCCTTGTGCAGCTGTAGTGCGTCATTAAATAAAGTACCTACAGCCACGCAAAATAATAGTTGGTGACCCTTGAAAAAAAATGCATAATGATGACATTTAGACTTGCATGAAAACAACAAAAAAATAATATCTAACCTTGTTATTTTATGTTATGATTGTTTTCGATGAAAACCTTTTCACATATATTGTTTAAATGCATGGGTTACCACTGGATTTGCAACTTTGTTAAAAGAAGAGAAGAAAAAAACTTATCAAGTATCCAAAAGAGTTTTACTTGACAACTATCTAAAGTTAATACTACTTTTTTATATGTAAGGAAACGTGTGTCTTTCCATCTTATAAGGAGTTTTACCAGTAAGAGAATTCTCATTTATAATAAAATTTTAAAATGTATTAAACATAAAATTTATACTGTCTAACAAATTATTTAAAACATATCTTATGAGGAATGTTGCAAGTTGGAGAATTCTTTGTATTAAAATTTCAAATTAATTAAATCTAAAATGTTATGTTCTTCAACAAAATATTTTGCAAGTAAAAATGTTATAACTTTTACAGCATTGGTTATCAGAGTGACTAAAAAAATAGGTGAGACTCATCAATTAGAGGAAAATCAGTCTTATTTTTTTGGGAAACAATATTATCTTTTACTTAATGAATAATTGTTGAAAGGCCCAGTGGGCAAACATCTTTGTGATTTGTCCAACTTATAAGATAATGTTCGTGAAAGCAGAGCCGGATTATACCTTTCGTAGGCCCTAGGCATGGCCGTTTTGGGGCCTTCCCCCACTCCTCCCCTCTTTTCAAAATATACGCTAAAATTTTCTTGCATACTTTTTTTTTTACATTTTTATTAATATGGATTTTATTTTACGATTTTGTTTATCGAACTTTATCTGCAATACCGNATTTAAGTTTCTTAAGTGAACAACTAAATTTTTTAATATTAAAAATTATGTACATGTT